TAAATAAAACAAAATTTATATAAATATATTTGATAGACATGGAGCTGGAGAAATGGCTCAGTGGTTAAAAGCTTGTCTTGCAAAGGACCTGGGTTCAGTTCCTAGCAATCACATGGTAGCTAATAACCATTCATAATTTCAGTTTCAGGGGATCCAATGCCCTCTTCTGACTTTTGTGGGCATTGCACGCACATGGTGTGCTTATACATATGCAGACAAAACACTCATACACATAAAATAAAATTAGTTAATTAATTAAAAATATTTGATAGACTCTAATGCTTATTCATGATAAAAACACTCAACCTAGGAATATTAGAGAAATTCCTCAATCTGGTAAAATCGCTTTGTGAAAATCCCAGAGTTAATGTCCTAATGTTAGAAGACCCCAGAGATCATGAAGGAGACAGGACTCCTTTCATCAGTTCTGTTAGACATTGCACTGGAGGTGCTAGCAGGGGAAATGAAGCAGGAAACAGAGGAGGAAAGGCTCACAAAGAGTATAAAGGCAACAGTAACTATATTAATTTACAGTCGGTGTAAGCTGGTATATTCAATACCCTAAAGAATTTGTTAAGAATGAGAATTGTTAAACAAAGTTCAAGATTCAAGATCAATATACAGAATGCAATTGCACTTCAGGGCACTACCAAGGAATATTCTGAAAATACAATTAAGAAAATAGCTTTACAATGCTATCATAAAAAGTAAATATGAGCTGGGTGTGACAGAAAGATGGGCCAGCAAGAAGGCTCAGCAAGTGAAGGTGCTTTCTTCCAAGTCTGACCGCCGGTGTGTGACTGCCAGTACCCACAGGATGGAACCAGAGGGAGACTCTTGCTCATGGTCTTCTGACCCCCACAAGCGCGTTGCTGGAGTAAGTATGTGCATACACAAATATATGTGAAATTTTAGTTTTAATTTAACAAAGAAGTAAAAAAGTACTCAAAACTAAAACAACCCAACCAGGTAAAAAGTGAAAGGGTCACTATATAAATAAAAACATGTTCTACTTTCACAGCCTGGAAGAGTTAATATATTAACATGGTAATAGTCCCTAAATTAATTTACAGACTCAACACGATTCCTAGTTAAAGTCAAACTAACATCTTTGTAGAACTTTTAGAAAACACAATATTTAAAATTATATAGAATTTAAAGGGATCTAAATGGCACACACAGTCTTGAAAAGGAAGAATAAAACTGAAGGGATCACAGTTTCTGATCCCAAAACTTACTGAAAACCCTCAGCAATGTTACTGGCATAAGGATAGATTGTAGACCAGTGATATGGAAGTGAGATTCCAGGAACGAACTCCCATGTCTCTGGTAAGCTGATTTTTGCTGACAGCAACAAGAGCAAGCAGTGAGGGAAAGAAGAGACTTTCCAGAAAATTCACACACACACACACACACACACACACACACACACACACACACACATACACAAATGAAGCTAGATACCTATTCACGACATATACAAAAATTGACTCAAAAGGACCATGGTTATAAATACAATTTAAACTATAATAGTCTTAGGGAGAAAAAATTGAATCAATCTTCATGACCTTGGGTCGAGCAATGACTTTTTAGATCTGACATTAAAAGCTCAAGAAATAGGACAAATAAATAAACTGATTATATCGAAACAAGCAAGATGGGGGGGTAGTGAAAGGCCAATAATTGCAAAGTATAATGATACATACGAATGAAAATATCACAGTAAAACCCATTACTTTTTTAACTAAAAAGAAAAACGCTCCTATTTTCAACAGATGCTACAAAGAATAATTTTAAAAAAGGTCACACATTAAAAGAAAGCAAATTATGTATGTGGCAAGGGACTTCACCTATATCCAGAATATATAGAGAACTCTCACAATGAAATAATAAATAACCCAATTTAAAAATGAAGAAAATGGGCCAGCAGGATGATTCAGACAGTGAAGGTACCTGCCACCAAGCCAGAGGCCCAAGTTCACTTCATGGTAGGACAGAACCAACAGAACTCCCACATGGCAGGACAGAACCAACAGAACTCCCACATGGTAGGACAGAACCAACTCCCAAGTGGAAC